TTGGTTATAAAAAAATGTATGACACGTTATAAAAGCAGACTTTGATGTCAGTAAGGTCAAAAAAATTGTGTTGGTCTTGAATAAATTTCAAAGTAATAAGAACAGTTTTCAATGCCGTGTTCTCTAGTTCTGTATATTTATAAATGGTGAACAATTTTTGAAGCAGTCGTGGACGTACAGTCTTCTTAATTTATATGTAACTATTCTGCAAAGAAATTTTTGCTCAAAATTTGTACGTATTCGAAGTCAAACTTCATTTTCAATTCAGATGAATCTGAGTCACAACAATTATGCTCTAGTTTGATTAGTCGAATCAGTGAATTAAATCATTGATTCTGAGAACTCATGTACCTAATCAGTGGTTCGAGGAACAGAAATCACGAGTAGATTAGAAGTGTTGCTCAATGTGAGGGATTTTCCTAAATATTTTTCCATTCGATTGATTCTTGGTAAACTTACACTATTTACGAGCGTAACTGAATGGGATTGAGGGGTAATCTTCTGATAACAAACAATATTCCGAAAATCGCTATCCAGAGGCGTCTCCCGCAGGATTTTGAAGGATACATTTATAGTACATGTTATGAATCAGTGGTATTTGATCTGATTTACGAATTAACACTTTCTAAACGAATATGTGACATTTGACATTTCTTTGACCACTTTTGACAACTTGCAGAATAACGAATATAAAGGGTGTCCCAAATACATGGTAGTCAATTTCATTTTTCTCAATTTTTTTTGTTAATTCATCAATTTTTATTTTGTTCCCTTCGACTATTATTTTCTATAGAAAAACAATTATGGGCCTCCACTCTTTCGTTGCTCCAGGGCCTCCAGACTTCCAAATCCGGTCCTGCTATCAATTACACTCGAAGGAGATATTACATAAAAAATTGGAAATCGTTTACATTTATTTTAATCATTTCTGTTGCCTGTTTAATAATGCTTCAGTCAATTTGAAATTTTTATAACGATATTGCTATTTTCTTTACCCAACATGCCTACTAATAAATACTTTATCATTAAACAAATATCCAAGACAGGACTATGCCATTGGAAAGCAATATCAGTGACCCATTAAAAAGATAACGATATTTTTACGACATTACAGGGTTGAATGATTTGGTAATTTCCTTCAAATTTGGTTGGCAATCACTCTCTATCATTTTATTTTATTCATAATTTAAAAATTGAACAAATATTGGCTGTATTTACAGTAGGTATATGGGTAAATTATTATCATTATTATTATTATGTCTACACCTCCATGTAATGGCATGTTTAGTAATGAAGAAAGGGCTTCTTCTTTAATGTTGATGAATGGTTTCTCAATCAAACATTCCAGGACGATTAACTAAAAAACCGTATCTACACTTTCTGCAATGTTTTCCTAATTGCAGGCTACAATCCTTCAAGTTTTCTGGTTCTAGTCGATTGTTCGTCAGCCGCTAGACATAAGTCTAATTTTTCTTCATTATAGTACTGTTTCAGTACGTTATAATATTTTAATTCAGTTCATACACATGGGTGGTCGGCAGACATTTCGAATAAGAGTTTGCGCTTTAGAGTCTTGGCAACTACGCTAGGCAGTTGTTGGCGCTGGCGCTTTTTTTTATCCGCAGTTGCCAATACTTGTGAAATTTCCTGTCGGCAAAGAATAATGATCACCTTCCAAATTATTTGAAGCGATGCTTTCTTAGATCTTCGTTAAACAATTTAGGATCGTTTTTATTTATAATTTTACCAACAAAGATTAATTTTAGGCTTCAAATATTACAGAATTTATATTGAAAGTCAGTCATATTTGACGTTTAAACTTCTTTCTAATTTGAACAGAGATTGTGATAATGAATGTGAACATTTTTTTTTCGGAAACTCAGTTTGAAGTGGAAATGTAGCAAAATTCCGAGACCGAAGCTGTTATTTAATGAATTTTTAATGAATTGCAATCAAATAAATGAATGATTCAAATCTATAATTGATTTTGAATAATATTTATTGATTTATTGATATATGGGTATTCAACAATTCATTTACTAGCCATTTACGATCCGAATTTATATTCATTTGTTGGTATTCTCTGAGAATTCAAATTTTAGACAATGTGTATTCGGATTTTCAACATTTATCAATTTTTTATTCAACTATAGAGTTCAGTGGTTCTTTTAGCCAATTGGTGTTCTTATTTCATATAAATACTAAAATTCGGTTTTTGAAAAGAATAAATCTCGAACTACAGCAATGAAATAATTTTATACTCAATCCATCTGCTTGGCAAAATTTCAAAGATTATGGATTTACACACATTTCATCTATTAAGCTGGATACCTTTAACCCTTGATTATGATAGCATAATTAAGACTGATATATAGTCACTAAATTATTTTTTTGTATGGAACACCAAAATATCGACAAAAATAACTAATAAGTGACCCAAATTGTCAATTATTTTGTTAAACAACTTCAAATAAGTGTCATAATTTTCTACAAATATAGCTGATTCCTTTACCTTTTCGGAAAATTGAAGGATGAATAGAAATCATATTAACGCACTAGTAATGTATGCTGTCTCAACCTAAAACTATTTTGCACAAGTTCTCAAAGAGAAAATGATATAACGAGAGAAACTGTCGCACAACTCGACAACCGAGAGAATTTCGTCATTCCGCCACTCGGCAGTAGGCAACACCGCGTTTGAAGAGAAATCAGTCGACCAGCAGTCGGGTTTGTGTACGTGTTTCGTTCGTCGTCGTTAGCTCTTCAAATACTTTGAAAACATGGCTAAATCGTCATGATTTCAGAAGGAAACTAACTTATTATGCAAGGTCAGTAATACACATTACTAGATTTGACTAATTTTCTGTAGTACGTTTTTTGTTTGTTGCAAAAATAACTGCACAAAGAAGCCATATGTCGTGTACGTAGCCTTGTGTTGTTCCACTTAAAATGGTTCTTTCGTACGAAATTAAACAGTCATATAGTGCACAATCGAATGCATGCAGAGTAGTTGTTTTGAACAACTTTATTGATTATTACCGTAATGTTAACGCCTTACCGGTGTTTTTCTGGGAAACGTCTGGGAGCCAGCGTAGGTCTATCGTCTATCTCTGTCCTTTGGTACTTTTTTTTAGTGTTTCCGGCGCTCGGTCATTGATGTGATCTCTGTGGAATGTGGTCCCTACCACTTTAATAGTTACGACGAGGACGGGGAGCGGTAGAATGTTGAAAATCGTGAATGGTTTCTGAATTCCAACGATGTTGCCGTTGTAGACTGTAGACTCTCTTTAGTGCAATCGTACTCATTTCATGGCCTCAAAGCTGTTTGAGAAACTCGCTTTGAATTCAAAGCGTAATGGAGCCAAAGCGGTGAATTGAAAAGTTATGTCGATTGATAGTGCAAAAATAAAGTTCGTCCACTAACAAAAGTTTTCAATAATCGTGTGGAGTAGAGCTTGATTCGTGGCTATACGGAAATAAACTATGTAAATGTTCGTCAAAGTACGTAGGTGCCAATTATTGTAATAATAATAGTAATAATGATATGTAAAAATGCACAAATGTTCACATACAAGCACATCTCTTATAAAAGGTAAAACAAAATATAAGTGAATATATTTACATTTCTGAATGTATATTTACGAATATATATTCATTTGTATATGAAAGAAATTAAGTCACACCTGTCAATAAAAAGAGTTGGGTACTTTACAAATTATGGGAGTATTGGCAGTTTTTTTACCTGTTCCATATGGGTATGTTGAAAATAGGTATTGAGCTAACAATTATGTTAACTGTCAATTGATATATTCTTTGAAACACGTTTTTGTGGAGGAGTTAATGTTCCTTGCTGTTTTTCTGAGTTTTTAAACTTCCCCAATTCAAAAAATAAAATCACTAGTTAAATCGAACTCTTCTTCTTCATTGTCACTGAGTCCGGGATTAGAATTTTACCTCCTCTTGTAAAATGTTCCTATATTTAAGCACTTTCTTGTGTCATATTCTAAAGTACCTGAATTTTGTTACAGATTTTTTGGTACTGAGAAGGCATGAAAATGAATCAAACATTTCCCACAATCAGCAGTTACTCTGATCAGACAGACAATAACCCCAAACATAAAAGTTTTTTTGAAGTAAACGTCAACAATTCCGCATTGGAGGCGAGACTGAGAACATTTGACAATTGGCCAAGCACACAACTATCCAAGGAAGCGCTCGCGTCTGCCGGTTTTGAATACACTGGACAAGATGACATTGTTTTGTGTCGTTTCTGTAAGATAGAAGGATACAATTGGGTATCTGGAGATGATCCAATGGCAGACCATCGAGAATGGAGTCCTGACTGTCCTTTTATTAGAACTGTAGAGAACGGCAGGTCTGGGAGTAATAGAAACGCAGATACTTGTGGACTGTACGGCATAGAGGTTCTTCCAAATTCCCTCCCGGAGGACAGGAGATCCATTGATTTGCAACAGTTGGGAATCCACAAAGGAAGTGGACCACACAACCAGGATAAAATAACGGTAAATAGTCGACTAGCAACGTTCGAAAACTGGCCCAAGTCCATCAAGCAGAGACCCGTTGATTTGGCAGAAGCGGGATTTTATTATACCGGTGTGGGAGACCAGACACTTTGTTTCTACTGTGGTGGTGGTCTAAAAGACTGGGAAGAATCTGACGAACCTTGGGAACAACACGCCCTTTGGTTCAGCAAGTGTGTTTTTCTAAATTTGAAAAAAGGTAAAGACTTTGTCGAAAAGGTCAAACAGAGGGCAGACCCTCTCTTGTCGCTCCCCGGAACAAGTCAAGACAAGACCAAAGAGCTAGAAGAACCTAAAGAGCCCTGCAGTAGGACTCCAGAAAAGGCTGAAAAGACTACTGAAACGGAAGCAACAGAGAAGACTTTGTGTAAAATCTGTTATAAAAACGAACTTGGTGTTGTATTCTTGCCTTGTGGACATGTTGTTGCTTGTGTAGATTGTGCTTCTGCTTTGAAAACTTGTGCTGTCTGTAGGAAACCTTTGGAAGCGACAGTTCGAGCATTTCTCTCATAATTTTTCCATTCTTTAATTTTCGTTTCTCAGATCTAGTCAATTTGAATTTGATTCTTGAAGGTTTATTAAAAAGTTTTGTCAAAAATTATTCTTTTCTTGTTTTAGGATTAGAAGTAAATCTATTTTTATACAATCTGAGTACAAATTCCACATACTTTTTTAGTTATAAGTTTGAAGCGCTTATGAAACATACTTTTAGTTCATTAATGACTGCAAACCATATCTTTCGTACACTAATACTTATTAGTTATCAAGCTCTCGTGAGTGGAACTTCCTTATTAGAACATTTTATTATAAAACTGACACAGAGATATATCTGTATGTTTGTGTGTATGTTCACTAAGTATGCTAATAATATAATAATTTATGAAAAATGGAGTTTCTCTTTCCCTTTCAAAGATAGGTGCAGCTCTTTGAATTTTTGAATCTTCAGAGCAATAACTTTTCAGAGCATAAGTTGAATATAGTTTTTGAAAGCTTCAAAACAAGTGTAAATGAAGAAGAGTGTATTTGTCTATGCTATCGTGGAGTTGATAAAATAGCTTATGTATGGAGGACAATAGTAAATGAAGATATGAGATAGAAATAGTCCAAGACCCCAGAGCTGTAACATTTCAGCTAAACTGAATCCTTTTACAGATATCACTGAATTTATATTTGAATGGTAACATTAGGTTACTGTATAATGAATTACCCCTAGATTGAGGCATAAATAGATAGATTCGTTTATTTAACTACGTTACATTATGTTTGTAGCAGGTCATATATATATATTTGAATGATGCAACTAATTTTCCTTTATTGTCAGTATTTCAATATTAAATTTTACAAAAAGGATTTGAAGCCTTATATTTTCTATTACTTATCTGCGAGTGCTTTCGACAGTTGGTAGTACTGTCATCTTCTAGGCACTCCTCAAACTTTTTTGAGGAGTCATTAATATATATGATGAATAAGAGTGGTCCCAAAACAGATCCTTGTGGGACACCGTTTGGATCTGGATATGTATCTGTATTGTAAAAATGGCATTGTCTGGGAGCTGATATGATCTAGAAAAAAGATCTCCAAATGCTTATTATAGATAATCTTAGCGACTGGAGAATGGTTTNGGTAAAATGTGCGTCAAGAAAATTGTTTCAGTTTTGGTGGGTAAGTGGGAGCAGTGTTGTTTTTACGAAAACATGATGCCGTCAGGAACTCAGGTTTTGTCAATTTTATTTCAGGGGAGAATTAGTTTAACCATTAATTTCTCGAAAAGTAAAATACCGTCACGTACTACTTCACAGTATCGCGTAATTATCCTTACGGAATACTGTCACCACAATCCAATCACAGAACAGGTAACAGTTGTTACCTATGCTGTGGTCCCATATTCTGTGCTGTACCACAGCTGTACTATACCACAAACCACTTACTCTATTGACGTTTCAAGGTTAGGGACGTTTTTGTAGTTCGTTGTGACCACCTGTAGAGGTCTATGCAAAGTGTATATCACAGAACAACAGGATTTCAGTGATAGAAGTGGTCTACTGCGCCGTAATGGAAGCAGAGACCATAAGAAAAGAGAGAAGAAGAAGAAAAGAAGGTTTTGTTGACATACTTCATTTAAAACGAATTTTAAATGTATTATTTTTATTAGTGTTCTCCGATCAGTTAGTTTGTGTCTCATGTAAACATATTTATCTAGTGTTTTTTTATTCTTAGTGAACTTCATTCACAACTATGTCGTGTAGGAAATGCTGCATTTCAAAATGTTCAGCATCTGCAATGCTACACAAATTTCCAAATCCTGGAAAACATTTGGAACAATTCAGAAAATGGGTGCAATCTATCAATGATAGGGATATCAATGAAATGAACCCAGTAATGGTTTATCGTTCTAAAAGAATTTGCCATAAACATTTTGAAGCTAAATACTATTCATCGATGTCGAGTAGACTTCAACCTATGGCTGTGCCTACATTATATTTGCAAGGTAAGATAAATATTTCCATTCAGTTCTTAAAACGTCCAAGTAATAAAACAATTCAGGTCAAATAAATACATTTGTTCCAGATGACTGACTGTTCAACTTCTCATCATTAACAGTCAGATCTGACATTTCAATCCTCAAATGAAATATAGGTACTACTCAAACATCCTATTTTAGTTTGTCCTCTGAGATGCGTAAAAATCTTAATTAGTTATTCATCCAAATCTCAGAGAACAAGCTAGGAGAGTCAAAAGTATTTCAATTTGAATATTTCATTGCAGTACGTGATTTGTGAACGGATGTGATAAAAACTTTAGGAATCCTAATCTGAAATTATTGTACAACAACGATGTACAACATCAGTGTTATTATTAGATTGACTGGTGCCTCAGCTATACTTGTTTCCTTATAACAGTCCTTATAATAGTGAACTATATCTTATTTTGCTAACTCATAAATTAACATTTGGTAGACATATTTCACGAAAAGTTTCAGAATCTCTCGGAACTTATGGTTTCATTGTTAGAAATTGCAGAAACTTTCATAATATTAAAGCCATGAAGCTGTTGTATTTCACCTATGTACATTCGAAGATAGAATATGCAAGTATCGTCTGGTGTCCATTCTATGAGATTCATAACATAGCCATTGAAAGAGTTCAAAGAAAGTTTAGTAAATTTCTAATTTCCAGAATAGATTGTTCTTACCCTGAGAGACGTACCAGTAATGATGTCATTTATGAAAGTTTGGAACTTTTTAGTTTAGAGCATCGCAGAAAATGTGCGTCGCTCATATTTTATTCAAGTTAGTGAATGAGAGAGTTGACTGTCCTAAAATTCTTGAACAAATTAACTTCAATGTACCACGGCCAGCTTCACGATTGCAATCCATTTTTAGACCTCTCAGAGCAAGAACTAATATTATGCTCAATTCCCCAATATATGTTATGTGCACAAATTTCAATAGCATTTGTGCCCATGGTGATTTATTCTTCACTAACCTTCATAACATTATTAGAATTGCTAACATGTACTTGAAGTAGGTAATTAGAATTGGTTTTTCTTTTTTGTTAATTTTATTTTTCGTTTATGGTTAAGTATTGTGAATAAAATTTTATATTGTCCTGTAAATGGGTAACTGTTGGACAGTAAAGCTATTATTATTATTATTATAACGCGCCAAAAAAAGAATACTTGCGCCATCTCTTAATTCACAATGGTAGCTTCTTGCTTCCACTACAGTTTTCTTGCTTAGTTTATTCGATTTAGACAAAACTTTACCGCTGATGGCGTTAGTGTGTTCAACAAATGGTGACGTGACATGTATTATACAGATCCATAGAATATCCACCTGGACCCCTTCTCTATTTTGTATTGTACTCTGGACCTACAACACTCTTGATAAAAAAATAATGATGATATCCAATAAATATCAGCATTCTGTTCACAGAGGTGCTACTACACTTCAAGCGACACTTCTTGACAATGTCGAGCTAGTACTTCAATTTTAATGTTTTTTACATTTAGGAATGAATTGATATTTTTTTCCACATCAAGGTCTATAAATTCAAGATCATAAAATACGCGCGACAGACTTTGATTCTTGCACCGTCTGTCAACATTGTATATATTTGGATCAAAAGTGAATCAGTAAAACAGCAGCGTTTCTATGCATCTTGCAATTGCTTTATGTCACAGCTTTGTATGTAGACTATGTACAAAGGTCACAGTATTCAGTAACTATACTCTCTCTCTCCCCCTTTGTATGGCCGTTGCTTCCCTCTCGGGTGGATTTGACGCAGCATTGCTCGAGGCAAATGTTGCCGCATTCTGGTTTTTTCACACACTTTTTTTTCAATCAAAAACAAAATTTCCAAATTCGCCGCCTCCTCTGGAGACCTTTCGGTTTTTTCTCACATACATGTTTCCCTTTACGTGGTTATCCGAATCACCTTGGATACTGTCGTGAATAAATCATATACTTAGAGTAATTTTCTGTTTTAGTAAATATAAAAAACCAAACTTATTATTCCACTTTGCGTTAATAGGTACCACAGGACTAGTGAAAGTACTGAGTTCTGTGATTAACACATCAAAAAACATCAAAACACAGAATAATAAATATGTGCTAAGAAGAATGTCAAATTATATCATTTTGTCAATTGGTTTTGTGCGATTTACGATGATCTGTCGAAATTCAAATCGCGAGGTTTTGATTTTGTGTTCATATAATACCACAGAATATCAGAATTATACAGAAGCGAAGGAAAGTCACACTGCTCGAACCTTAGACAAATATGATAAATATGAATGATACTTGTCACTGTAATCCACCTTATTTATAAATGTTGACGTCTTTACTGATTAACGAAAAAACAGATTTTAAACAGATTTACATAAGCACAGTATTGCTTGAACCAGTAGTGTCACTTTTGTCGGAACCTTTTATGTTTGTGTCTCACAGTTTCATTTTTTTAGGACTACTGCGCATCCATTTTTTTCTACCACGACTGGATTTGTCAGCGTTTTACATAATCACCACAGATTAAAATACAGATGCGAAAGCTAGGCCTCCCGCCAGAACCTAGTTTTTGGCTGTTCACGTTAAGAAGAGAATGACGTCATTTTTGGTAATTTTGTATATCCAACATGACAACGATAAAATTCCCACTGAAATGCGTTCAACAGTAATGAAACTAGTAACATTTCATTTTGTAAGTTGCTCAACTGATAGTAAAATTTCAGACGTTGCCGAATAAAAAAAAACTCAAAACTGTCTTTCTTTTCTTTTCAGAACTAATATTTTCTTTTGATAAGACCTGCGTATATTCAATATGCCTAAAGCATTGTCGAAATAGTCTCAACAAATACTAAAAGTGAGTAAGGATAATAGCAATAAAACATACCAACAGTACAAAAAAATTGAAAGTTTGAAATAGTGCACATGTTCGCAAAGCCGTTATTTGTCATCTTGTGACTGTCATTCTCTTCCTAACGTGAACAACCTATACGCATGTGCGGTTACAGGTTGTTTCAACTTCAACCTCACTTTTCACTTAACGTTTCTTTGTCTTTGTCACTGTCACTGTGTACAACTTTTATTTCAATAACTATTGGAATATAAGTGAAATATAGTTTACACATGAGAATGTTTCGCAAAGGGGGAACAGTTTGTGTTGTTCGTGGTTGTTTGACAAAAACAGGCGAAAATATAAGTTTGTTCAGAATTCCAGAGGATTCTACAAAGTAGGTGAATGTTAATAATTTTCATTTCACAGCATTATCTCAACGCAGCTTTTTGAACATTTTATTTATAATCATTTGGAAATGTCCCATGCAAATAAATTGATATTTTGTTCATGTTTTTTTAGGGCTGCTTGTTGGCTGCGGTTATGTAACAGAGAGGATTTATTAGGTAAAAGTATACAAGCCCTGCATAGAAACTTTAGGGTATGTGAGAAACATTTTGCCAAAGAAGTCATTTCTCAATCTGGAATTCGTAAACATCTATTCCAAAATGCAGTTCCATCCATATTTCCTCACAGTGCCCCTAAGCGCTCTTTGGAAGTTATCGACAATGATAATTGCGAAGGACCTCCTAAGAAAATTGCTGTCTTGGGTGGTGAGTACCATTTTGCATGTTCTTAGTACATATTTTTTTGACGGATACCTATGTTGTGTCCCAAGTTCACATATTGATTGTAATATCTTGCATTTCTAAATGATAATTTGTTATTTTTAGACATTACTAGTAACATCGCCATGCACGCAGAAACCGTAGCTTCTCCAGCTGCTACAGATATCTCAGGTATGCTTTTATTGTCAATAAGAATTATATTCTTCGACAATAAAGTGTACTTGATTCTGTTATTGTTTCAGATATAAAAATTGATTATGATGGAACTGCAGATGAAAATGAAATTGTCGAGAACAAAGATGAGTTTTGGACATTTCCTGAAACTTCAGCACTAGTCGAAGCATATGGTCATCACATAAAATCTTTTGCCGAAGATGGTCATGAACTTCCAACATGGAATCGAATATCTACTGAGTTGAGCTCGAAGAATATACACAGGTCTCCAGAAAGCTGTGAAAGGAAATGGGAGAGTCTGGTCCAAAAGCACAATAGTTGTCAAACAAATTATGAATATTATAATGAAAGTGATGATGTGAGTAATGCACAAGATGAGGGGAGTGTTGAACAAAGTAGCAAAAAGCACAAAGGAGATTGTGAATGTTACAAAAGAAAAATCGTGGAGAAACAAAAAAGGCATCGGGAGAGAATGGACTTGATAAAAAGAAAATTGGAAATCGAGGAAAGGAAACTTGCAGCTTTCGAAAAATACCTTGCCCATCTGAGCACCGTAAAATAGTGATATCCTGAAACAAGTCTGTGATTGATTATTGTATACATGTATATGAATTCTCATGTGGAATTCTGATTGTTGAAATGTATCAGAAGAAATGTATCAGAAGGTGGTTTTTCATATGATTTATTTCCTTATTTTGAAGGATTCATGAAAATCTTGTGATATTTTTGTTTTTTATGAAACTCTGACAAAATAAAATTTTCTATGCTTTTTTATTCAATGTTTCGTGATGATGAGCTGATACACGTGGCTAGTTTCACAGAAAATCACTGTAAATTTTCACAAAAGACCAAGAACACAATCATTAGATTGGCTGAAAATTCACGACAATTTGATACATGAATGTTATAGTCCACAACTTCATGATAAAAAATGCTGATGGCTACAAAGTTCTAAAACAAATTCTACCATGCAGTGTTTTTGTGTTGTCTGTAGAAACCTTTGATACCATCGACCTTCAGAAGATCCCTCAAATACTTATTCAACATGTTTTGCTATAGAAACACTTGAAAACAATGGAGATAAAATGGAAAATGAGAATTAACCTTTTGAAAGTTTGGCTTTTGATGCATATAGTCACAGCATATCTAGGTATGCTGTGACCTTATCACTATTGCAATAGAAAATATTATTATTATTATTAATCTTATGTTGTGTCGCCAGTGAAGTGAATGTTTTTGATATTGAACACAGTCACAGATCACAAGTTGAGACTTGTAATATTAGTTATTGGCCTTTAAAATGAGTAATATAGCCTAGTTTTCCACATTGTTTATTCAATTCAGTTTTTTTTTTCAAAACTATAATGCCTCAACAAAAGTGTTGTGTGGAGAATTGTAGATCCCGAAGCAAATAGCATCGTTTTCCAAAAAATTATTATTTCCATTGCATGTTTTGTAGGAGTGAATATCCGAGTGTGTGATAATTTTCTTTGACATGCAGAACATTGTCAAAGATAATTTGTGAGAATAGAGTCATGATTCCTGTATTCTTAAACAAAGGTTTACAGTGTTCATTATATTCTGCTTTAACAATGCTACGTACAGCAGATTTTTGCAAGACAAATACTCTTTGAAGATGTATGTAGCTTGCATTACCCCAGCACAGCAATATATAACTCATTGCTGAGTGGAACAAGGCGTGGTATGTTATTAGAGCTGCTTCCTGACCAGCCCTTGTAGCTGTTCGCCTAATTGCATAAACAGATTTTGCTAGTTTGTTGCAAACATTACTGATGTGGGTGGTCCAGGCAAGGAACGAGTCAAGATGAACTCCCAAAAATGTTATACTATACTTTCTGATGTAGAAATGGCATCAGTGTGGAATACACACGTTTTTTTTTCATTCATATACAGTTCATTAGAGTCAAACCACAGTTTAGCAGAGGCACAAATATTTGCCGATATGTTATCAACATCACTGGTTCTATCTATATGTAAAGAGAATGACGTGTCGTAAGCGTATAATGTCAGTAATTCAAGTTTGAGATGCATATATGAAGGTAAATTACTAGCATAAATTAGGAACAGAAAAGGCCCCAGTATGGATCCTTGTGGGACTCCCCTTTTGATAATACTTTCTTGACTTATATTGTTATTGTAAACTCTTGTGTTCTGTTAGCTAAATATGATTCAATTATTTTATTGGGAATTCCTCTTATGCCGTACCATTCTAGTTTTCCAACATTTTATCATGACTGACACAATCGAAAGCCTTCGATAGATCTGTGAAGATAGTTAATTGGGATATGAGCTCCTCTGCTGCACGATCAGAATAATTGCTAGTTTTAGGATGGCGACACTCGTGCAGAAGCTTATTCAAAGAGCTGGAAATAATCACAGTTGCTGGTCTGTATATATATGAGATGTGTCTCTACGTTTATAATAATAGAGACAAATTTAGCGCAAACTAACAAGACTACCCATACGCAACTAGAGTTAGAGGGTTGCTTATAGTGAATCCTCACCGAACCTCTATCAAGAGTCACCAATACCTTGGACCCAAACTATATAACAAGATAGAGGTTTCTATTAAGGACTCGATGAATATCTGCATATTCAAAAGACAATTGAAAAAATATCTCATTGGAAGAAACTGCTACACCATTGACGAGTTTTAAAACTTACTCTCGATAAAAATTGTTATTTACCTTTAAATGTCCAGTTTAGTATCTGTTATGCTTTGTTGTTGTTATATATATATATAT